TAACGCCTCAACGTGGTCAGAGCGACCGAAGCACTTTTGAGGTTCATTGGAACCTGTCGCGACCTTGGGTGCACACACAGCGTGTACATTGAAACGAGGCAGGTCACCTAGGTCGTTGCAATGAGGTTTGGTCTCATCGGTTTTCGCCCCCTCCATTTGGTTCCCCTTTCATCCCTACCCCTTCACACACTTTTGTTTCCTCTTTTCTTTCATGTCCTCCTGTCTTCATGTCTGGTCATCTCATCCTTTTCTTCGTTTGCGCGCACATTGGTCCCGACCTTAGTGTGTACGTGCACTTCTACATACATTTTCACACAGGTTTCAGGTCGCCCAGGTCTTGACAATGAGGTGGGTTTCATCGGGTGTCCCTGTGCACTTGGTTCCCTTTTCATTTCCACCACACACACACACCTTTGTCCCGTCTCGTCCTCCTGTCATGTCTTCATTCTTTTGTCTCTTGTGCGCGCACGCGTGCACATTTGCCCTCACCTTAGCTTGACGCCTCCCCTCGGGGAGGCGTGTGTGTGTAACCCTTGTAGTCACAGGGATTCTTTTGAATTGTTTTAGTCAGCAGGGGGGCTGGAGTGTGCTTCAGATGTCTCCAGCCAACGAAGACGCATCTGTCGCACAGTGATATAGTTCTGGGACGCCAGAACTACGTACCTGCCATTTTCCGAGTCTTCTGAATGGCACGAGGCTAAGCCTAGAACCTCACTCGGCAGACAAGTACGACCGTCGTCACCCTGTCGCTTCGTCGTCGACTTTGGCCTCCTTTCCTCTTGATGACTGCCAGGTTCCTTAGGACTTTCCTGGACTTTTCAGGATTTGGGTTTCTTAGGCTGGCGTGTGGCACCGCTGTCAAGTCAGTACGCATATCCATAAGTGTGTGTTTTTGCAAAAAAGAGTATGAAACACCCATATCATATAGACATCATCAAATAGATCTTGATGGAAAGGTAATGTATCTCATTTATTTTGTGGTCCCAAGGTACTACCTTGTGATCGTCAGACCTTCATGTGCCCTATCCACGTTGCTTACTTAAGAATCACAGCCCTGTTGTGTATCAACCTGACCCCTCACCAGATCTGGGACAATGTTTCCTTCGATGTTACCGCAAGGGACATCAGCTGCTCTTCAATCAAAACTTTGGTATCGGTATATAGCTGTTGTGGGCTGCCAATGATGACTTCGGAGTGTTGAGCGTTGAGGGTGTGTTTTGGCAATGCAAACATAATCCACTGTAGACCACCGGCACTAACTAGTTGTTGCTTGTCGTATGTGACACTTCATGTGCAGGTGCACACTCAGTGGCATGGACTACTTGGCCTGTGTAGTCCAACTCAACGCTGTGGTTCCCAGCTTCTCATCCATTCTCCTTACGGAACAAGACCTTGGACCACCGGGTACCCTTGTGTGGCGCAACCTTGTAGAAGTTCCAGAACATCAAAGGAAGTTGCGCTGTTGTGTGGTACCCTTGTGTTGCTCTATTTTCTGTCAGTCTAAGCCTTTCAGGTAATTTTTTGTTCAGCGAAGGGAAACCCGTTGAGCGCTGTGAATCGGCCTCATCTACACCAAGGACTCGACCTTGTCTCAGACCTGGTCAGATCGGGGCCATGTCGAGGACACACAACTGGACGTCGCACACTGGGCAAACTGGACGACTGTTGCATAAATCAGCATCAAACTGATCAACATCCCAGGGATTTCTCTCCTCGCAACGCGACCGCATACAGACCAAATGCACTCCGGAAAAAGAGAAGAATCCGAAATGACACATAATAGTTAATTATAAATTATATGATATTCAATGTGTATATTCAGATTATTTCAGATTAATAGATGGTCGAACATCATACTCCCCATGGATATTCACTTCCTGCATCTATTGGTACAAAAATGCAAAGCAATCACACATGAACGTTAATTTATATCATAGATACCCCAACCCCGCACCCCCCACGATTCGCCAGAACTGTCAAAGGTGTCAAGGGTCATTCACAGCGCCTGTCGAATGACACGCGGGACGCTGGGGCGAGTAAGATGTGGAGAATTGGAGCAAATCCATGTTTGACGGGTCTTGCTACTAGTAGTAGTGGCCTCCAACCTACTAGCGATGGCCTCCAACCTACTAGGCGATAGCCTCCAACCTAGTAGCTTCTAGCTACTAGAAGCGCTAGTAGCTTCTTGCTGCTAGTAGTAATGACCTCCAACCTACTAGCGATGGCCTCCAACCTAGTAGCTTCTAGCTACTAGTAACTTCTTGCTACTAGTCGTAATGGCCTCCAACCTAACAGCGATGGCCTCCAACCTAGTAGCTTCTAGCTACTAGTAGCGCTAGTAGCTTCTTGCTGCTAGTAGTAATGACCTTCAACCTAATAGCGATGGCCTCGAACCTAGTATCTTCTAGCTACTAGTACCTTGTTGCTACTAGTAGTAATGGCCTCCAACCTAACAGCGATGGCCTCCAACCTAGTAGCTTCTAGCTACTAGTAGCGCTAGTAACTTCTTGCTACTAGTAGTAATGGCCTCCAACCTACTAGCGATGGCCTCCAACCTAGTAGCTTCTAGCTACTAGTAGCTTCTCCCTACTAGTACTAATGGTCTCCAACCTACTGGCGATGCCTCTAATTTATTAGCGGTGAGAAGAGAGCCCTCTTCTTGCTGAGTTTTGATTGTCACGCCATGCCCTGGTCGTTGGTTTCGAGGCGAAACCAACCTGGTTTTAAGGACGAAACAGTTCTGCGATTCACCGAACGCTTCCCCAAACGAGGAGACCACCTCCCCGCACTTTCCGCGCATGACCACTCCTGTGTCTCGGCTACAGCTTCCGCTGTTGGGGGCGGCTTTATATGGGGAATGAGAGAACCTTTGCATTGCACCTTTGTATTTGTTGGTTACATAGCGTTACAGTCACGTTACATATGGTTTTGTTAACATAGTACCAGTCCAGAACCCACACTAACTCGGCTAAGCAAGACTCCGCATGAAGAGGATCTGCAAGACTTCCTCTCTTCAGAGGGAGGATTTTGGTGTCTCTTTAAAGAATGTTTGATTTGGCAGCGTTTGTCATTTTTCAGAGGCGAGTTGCAACAAAATTATGTTTGTTTTTTTGGGTTATGAATGAGGGCCTTAACGGGGACCAAAATATCAGTTTTGGATTGGTTTTAAAAACCACTGAAGTACACAGTGTCTGGAGGCGGTTTTATGATTTGAAGGGTCCATGAATTGGCAAACTCCCTAAAGCACGAGGCAACAACGAGCCGGCTCGAGCAAAAGGTTTTCGGGCTTCATTCATTATCTTCATTTGTCTATTAATTGATATGACAGGTACGCTTAAACTCGCAAGGATTAATTAGGACTGTAGGAAGAGGGATTGGTGAAATTCATAGTTTTCCAGGTGAAGAACAAACAACACGAATCAGGAGACAGATGGACCAAACTAATTGGGGAGGATTTCTGGGGACAAACTCATGCACATGTTGAAAAGCGGCCAGGAAGGGTTGTTTGAAAGGCCATCAGTATTGCAGAACAGACTTGGATCGAATTCTGTGTCCACATTGTGGACATGCCCCTTCAGGGGCGTGGGGTGACATGATGCCAGCCAATGAATGGGGACTACGACGGGACATCATCAAGGATGATTACACGAACAGTGTCGAAGAAGCAAAGCAGGGGTGACAGCCGTGGGTCGTGGTACGACGGCAAAATACACATCCCGGGTCACTCCAAATTGCTCATCCACATGGCAAGAGACGGGTCTCGTAGATGACACCTGCAGCCTGTACTCATAGGAATCCCAAATGCACACTCATCAACGAAGTGGATGGCATGGCATGGGTCCTTGGATGACCATGAAATCCTCTACAAAAAGGTGGTCTTCCACTTCCATGACGATTCCAGGGAGTGTAAGTGTAGTAAAGTAAAGGGGTGGTGTTCCATACAAACCACGGAGTCTGTCGCCGTACTCTTGTCTTGCTGGGCACCTCATAGCCTCACCGCCAGAACACGCCCACGGCGGCCAATTTCCTCCTGCGCAGGGACCGCAGGGAGTCCCGGAGTTTCTCCGGACGGAGCCAAACACTTTGTTACTAGTGGCTTCTTCCTCCTAGTAGTAAGGCCAGGAGCTACTAGTAGCGTCATTGCTACTAGTAGCGATGCCTTTGGCTCCTAGCGTTCTTGCTAGGTCCAAAAGCAAATCTTTGACTTTCGAAAGGGGAGAAAGATGGATCATCCTTTTGATGAAGTATCAAATCATAATACTGATCTACTATTCAAATCTTAAAGTGTTTGTTGACATTTGGAAGAGACAGAAGCAAACAACGAGTCGATGTTGTAGATTGTAGATATATAAGAATGATTGAAGTGATTCGAGGCTTGAATATATGTTTGACCGCTTGAACGTGACAAGTTGTCAAGCTGAAAATCACGCCTCATTTCATGGCCATCGAGGACTTTGCTTCTATCACCCACAACCCACAGAACTCACTGAGGTGAAAAGAAAACTCGGCTCTCCAACGTCAATGCCAGCAGCTTGGTGAACTCCCTCATGCCGAGGTAGTTAAACACCGCGTCTCCGCCACCGGTGTTTTGGCGCTTTGCCAAGTCGATCCATTTTGAGGGTCAAAATAGTGTATTTCCGGGAATCTTGCTGGCCCTGGGTAGACTGGTCGAATTTCCGAAGCTTCCACCGGGGTCGAAAGGGATGTTTGGTAGGGAAGTCTCCCAAAGCACCTCGGGATCGACCGCAGGTGGACGGGCACCGGTGCTGTTTGGGCCGAGGGAAGGCTCAGGGCTGGAGAAATGGAAGAAGATCTTCGTATTTTCGATCGAAGAATCGAGCGATGACATGCCGTAATTCAAGTTAGATGAAGTACTGCCGTAGATGAAGTACATGTATAGGTATCCCTTTTTGAACAGTCAGCCGTTGTATATAGTGTATAATTCTCCTAGATCCAGTGATGATTATCAGGTCTTCTTGGGCTTTAATTGGGCGTTCAGCATGCAGCTAGCAACCGAGCTGAACGTCTCATGCCTCAAGGGTAGCAAGTACAAGGTCCATCAAGGTCCTAGGTTCCAACACAGAATTGACAGTTGTGTTTTTTGGTGGGTGAATGGTGTATATAAGTGCAGATGATTCACGATGCCCTCCCATCTTTCCATGCACCATTGTATATCACTCATGCTTGCAGGTCTGCGGAATCAGAATCTGCTCCACTTGAGGCACGCTAGCAGATGCCTTCGATGAGAAGACCTTGAAGACTCTGACAGATAAATCTGACAGCTTTGGAGTCGCCGCTCGGTGTGTCATTGAGTCATGACACAAAAAAAAAGGCCACCCGATCTGATGATACGACCTTCATTGTGTGGATTTGGTCCTCCGCTTCCTGTGGCCAATCCATGTCCGAGACAGCAAGATTTATATAACATGAACAATTTGCATCCTGTCGCCTTTTGGAGATGAGCAGTCTATTCAAATGTGGGAGACATTTGCTGATCCTCACAAGATAAAATGCTGCGTACAGGACGTTGCTGTGCACAATCGGATCATTCTGTGGCCTTTACGTGGCTCCAAAATCAGTATGGACAGACGCGTCGGTAAATTGCCTTGAAAGACATATCGGACAACGTTTCTATTTCATTGGGGACCATTTTGTACTGTACTGGTTGCTTGCACATGAGTATGCAATGATCTTGGAAGCCACGACCAACTTTCAGGGGTGCAAACTCAGCTTTCAGCTGCTGCTGAGTTTGGGCAGCTTAGCAGGGCTCAGTTGAGCCGCCGTCCAGCAACAATCCTCCAACAGCATCCTCCAACAGGTCACCTATCAATTCAATGGGGACCTCGTAAGGCCCTTCCCAACCCTCGAACATGGGTCTCCCCAGCAAGGATGCTGGTAGGGACCTTCTCTCAATCACGATCGACTCCACCCTTTTGCCTCGAGCATGTTCTTCAACATTGGCCATCTCGATTCCAGGGCCTTTCTCCGGCCCTGCACAATGACAAGTGCCTGGGTGAAAATCGATTCACCGGGAGAATCGGTACGAAGAGGGCCTTAGGGGCCACTGTTTGTGGTTTGAGCCAATGTAGCAAGTCCAATTGGCTCTAGTTAGGCTTTGGACCGTGACGTCGCGAGATTTGAGGATCGATTTCGGACGGTTGGGCCTCGATCGAGGAATACGGTGCGGCCTGAATGCTATGGACAGTTACCCTCACCATTTTACAACAGTTTTCGCATGTGTTCATGTTTTCCTGCACTGTTGGACACGTCAGTTCTCCTTACAAGAATCATTGGATGTTGTGAAGGGCATTGTGAACAGATCTTTTTTTTCAATTACTGTAAGAGACTAGAGACTAATATATTGTAAATATGTGTTCATCCCTACGCGCTGAATCCCTGCAAAGGTGTTGAACAGTGTGAAAGCCAACCATTTGCAGATCTCTATTTACATAGATCCGATCTCACCAATTAAACGTTCCACCGTTGTTTCTTGGATGTCGTGTGGAGTGTGAAGTTACGGCCACGATCGCCAAGGACGACGCTTTCCCTTTGTAAAAGGGTTCAGACTTGTTTAAAGGATAGAAATAGAAAAGATAGAATTCGGATTTGATCCGCGGGTTTTCAATCTGTGGGCTTTTGATTGATTCGAAAGATAGAGTCATCAGTCTCCACGGACTAGGAGCTCACCAGCATGATTACTGGACTGTGAACGGGATGGTGTTCAAAGAAGGAAGCTCCATCATATAGTTACTGTAACCACTGGGAGTTGGAATCTTGCCATGTTGGGGAAAGCCTATCTACGACTGCAGTGCTTTGCTTTTTTCTGCTTGGCTATTTTGGCTTCCCCTTTAATGGATGACGGCTTTTTTCAACCCAGGCAAGGAGGATCAGCATTGCCGGTGGTGAATTGCGGTGGACAGAGGAGCCCTTAAATACTGAACCTTTTAATTACAACAGTCGTTTACCATTTTAGACTCTCAGCTGCGAAGCGGCCATGTTTGAGCCTGGGAACCGGCTCATCATTCGGAACCCGAGTTGATGGACCAGTCCACTGGAGGCTACGTGGGCTACGGGGAACCGACCGACGGGTGCAACAAAGGGGATACCAGCCCGGTATGTCCGATGAGCACCATGGGCGCAACCGCATCATGAACTGGAACTGGAAGATGGCGCAGTCCTGCGGCCTGGGATGGCCCCCCCAAAACAGGTTTCGGAACTCCAGTCCTCCACCGTGAAAAGCTAACCCGCGAGGAATGGATGCTCCTCTTCCTTTGCGGAGTGGATTCACGATAGAGATGAGCAGAAGAGTTGCTGGGAGAGATGCCAAGACTTCTTGCTACTTGGGATGTGAGAGGATGGCTGGGAGCCTAGGAGTAGGCAGGCTCAGAAGGGCTATCAAGTTTTGCATTTCGCTCGGCCGCTAAAAGAACAGCCAACCAAACGGCGCGCGGCGCTCGGTGTTCGTTGCACATGTTCACCCGACGAGACGGGCAGGATATGACCGGCACGTGACGACGGTTTTCGGGTCTCCGACGCACTGAAATTGATGAGTGGACGATGGTGGACGTTTCCGGAAAAAGAACACAGACTCCCAGATATTTCGATGTGTTTCTTGCGCATGGCATCGCATGGCCGCATGGACTCGATGTCAGCTCAATCTCGAGAAATCTCTCCTGAGAGTCTCGACCCGCCTTGTGGTCACTTTGATATCGTGAGATATCATGAGAGGGACGACTAGTCGAGAGCATACGACTCTCCTATTGCAGAGCATGATGAAGCATGAATTATGCGTGACAATGCGTGACAAACAGTTAAAGCAGGGAAACTCTTAAGAATGTTGAGTGGCTGTGGATGGTAACAAAAAGTATGTTCACCCTTGGTTTGCTGTTCTTTGTCATGTTGTTTGTTGACAAGGTTGTCCTTCTTTGGTCTCCCCTTTGGGGGGCAAAAGGACACAGCGTTTAGATGTTGGACCTGCCATGGAAAAATTACAATCACTTTGGGTGCTTCCTTTGTGGACATATCAGCTGCAGACTGAGTGCTGGAGCGCTGTCTCCCGAGTGGAGTTTGGGCACAGGAGACCCAGAAGACCACGAAGCCATCCGTAGACCATAGAGCCGTAGAGTCAGCAAGGTCGCAATGTAGTGCCACCTGGGCCAATCTCCAGGCACAGGAAGTTCAGAGTAGTTGGCACAAACTCCTATACAGACCGGATATGACCGGACAATTGTTTTGCCAGTTTTCCACTGCACAGTTTCTTGTTTAGTATCGATCGCGACCATGAGTTTGGGCCCAGCTGTGATACATGTGCCATCGCTGTGCCACGTTCTCACTGGTCTCACCCACTGCGTCTCCACGTTCTCAATGCGAAGCGTCAAGGCAGTCCACGCGCTATGAGTTGATCATTGCCTTCGCCGCTGGACCGTGTGTCGTGGGTCGTGTTTCGACACGGGTCGCTGGGCGTTTGATTTCACCGGAGCGATGCGACTCTTTGGGGTTTCAGTTTGAATCGATATGGAGGAGGGGTGAATATATTGATCGTTCATATGAAGTAACTAGTCCGAGGCGGAACATTTGTTATTATTTTGCTTATATAAGTCTTTTGAGTTGTGTTGCCTTCATCGTAGTGAGAGCAACGATGAATCTGTAGAATTATTTGAGAACATTGCAGTTGCCTACTTCATTGCCTGATTCACCCTGACATGATACCCTAATACCCTAGATTACTTTGCGTAGAATGTTTTAGCACTTGGCCGGGCAAGTTGGGTCATCGTTGGGTGTGTGAAACTAGTCAACACATTATTAAACAAAAATAACACAATCCCGAGTACCTAGTAAAAACGGACCCCGATTAGAAAAAAAGTCATGTCGGAACCCCCTAAATAGGGTTTATATTTTGTTTTTTAATTACAGTCCTTTCAAACCGCTACTAAACTACCAACATTGCCGAATTTGGAGTAAGTTTTTTAAATTAGGTTCCAAAAACAACCGTAACTGCCCACCTCTGTCCACCCTGTCTATCCACCATGACACACCGCGTTTACACCAGCAGGTTTTCCTTTCCCCAATGGCACGGACTCACGCAAACGCACTTGCCACCGAGGTCACGCAAAAACCGCATGGCACAGCGACATCACCTTTCGAAAGCTTTAGTTGTTAGTCTAATGAAGAATCACTAACTATTCTAATACAGTAAAGGTTTTTGTAGGGGAAGAGGAAGACCCTTCGATCTGGAGTATTTTTTACTGTAATATATTTTGATATGAGTTTAATAAAGGATTTTATTTCAAGTTTTCCTGGGTTACTTTTTGGTTTTGAAGCTCTTCCCAGGTGACCCTATTTTGGACCGCCCCGTTTTCAGGGACCCTCGATTAACACAAAGGCGACCGAGGCTTCCTTATTAGGGGGGGGCCGCATGTGTTTTAATAGGTGGACAGGATGAACACACACACACACACCACAGGGGAACGGAAAAGGATAAGAAAAAGTTCCTTCACCAGTGTAACTTTGAACGTCCCCACCTTGGGCACTGTTGGAGGCCCGGCCCATCCTGCCCGATCCTGCCCTTCCCAATTGAGGTGCTGGCCGTGAATGTCTTCTGCATGGCATTGGAAATGGAGCTGAGAGGTGTCCATGTCGCAGGCAGACACAACGGACACAACGGACACAACAGACACCACGAACTCCGTTTCTGAACGCGTGCGACGAGGTTGTGCAATGAGTTCCCTAGTCTTCCAAGAATTGTTTGGTAAAGACCATCAAGGGTGAGCCAGAAATCCCAGAGAAGGAGAAGCCGACAAATTTTGACAACAGTAAATTTCAACTACAGGGAAAATCAGTCTATAGCCATGACACGATTTGGGTTTAATGGAACATAGGCATGAAAACACTCCATATTATGTGTATTTTACTTGCCAGTCCAGTGCAGTCCTATGTCATTGGATGGTTGTAGTATTTGTTGGCGTGAACTAAGATCGTACCGACGTCTTCCGAACTGAGTTGAGTGATTCCATGGCAAACGACACGTGGACAGACCTCGCAGGGAATATGAACGTGCGGAATACATCGGGTTTTGCCCTGGACACGTCGCATGGACGATCTCCCGAAAAGGCCTTGCTGAACGACGGATCCACATCATCCCCTGAAGGATTTCGGGGAATCTTGCAATTGTTCAGGTCCACAGCAGTGGGCCCAACGCATGTCTCATGTAAAGACGACTAAAGCGCCAAAGCGATATCACTTTCACAACTCTGTGGTTTTCATCTCTGTTGCTCACCACGTAATCGACCGTTTTTTTCTGCGTTCAATGTGGTTTGTGCACCAGGTGTTGATCTTGGACTGTATCCTTCAGTAGTTCAGTTCGATTCCCAACTGCGACTTGGTGGCTTCAGAGTTCCTATCGATCTCCATCAAGTCATGTCAAGCCTCAAATGCCTTCTTTTGCCTGCCGGCGTCATTTCACTTCTTTCTTACGAAGTATCCTTCCTCCAAGTTTTTTCTTCTTCTTTCGAGCTTCATCCTCGTCCTCATGCTCTCTTTTACGCAAGTTCCACCCACGTTACTATGACGGCCTTCTTTTGTTGCTTCCCGTGCTTTTTGCGAAACCTCATGGTGTTCCTGCTGGCTTGCGGGAGGTGTTGCTGATTTTTTTGGTTGCTTCTGGTTTGCTGGTTGCTGGTTTGCTGCTGCTGCTGCTGATGATGATGATGATGATGACGATGATCTTTTCTTTCTAGTTTCCTGGTGTTGGTCGGCTGGCTTGCTGCTGGTGTGCTAGTGCTGCTGGGCTACAGGTGGTTTGCTGCTACCCGTCGTTCCTTGCCTACCATTGCCTAGCAACCTTTCGTCCATCCTCCTTCTCTCAAGTCTTCATTTGTTAGCCTGCTGGGAAGTTCTTGTAAACAAACCTACGATTTGCATATATAACATTAACAGTTAGTATAACAGTTGATCCAAGTTTAGCGAAACATAATCGAAATAGGAATCGATACTATATACATGGGCGGGTGCTGATGAAATTGGGGGTCCCCTGGGCTGGGGGGAGTGTTCTGAGACCTATTAGAACTTAAGCTCAATGAATCCGGCAGTGGTTTAATGCTCCATTCCTGTAAAGCACCACATGGGCTAAATATTACAATATTATATATACAAACAATCTGGGCGACAGTTCTTGAAACTCTGCCCAGTTTTCCATCGTTGAAACCATCCTATTTTGAGGATCCCCTATTAAAACAACAACTACTTCACTGGAATTCTTTTAGTAGGGGGAGGAGGGGGGGGCGCGTGTTGTTTGATAAGTGGAACGGATTAGGTACAAATATCGCCCGAAGTGGTGCACATGTATCTCCACTGAACAGGCGGTGAACGTGCTAAGCGCTATTGAGGCAGAAGGAATCACGTGAAACAGAACATACACCTGGGCTTCATGGAAGCTACTAGGAACAAGTGCCTTACTAGTAGCAACAAGAAGCTATTAGTAACAAGTGCCTCGCTAGTAGTAACAAGTGCCTTACTAGTAGTAACAAGAAGCTATTAGTAACAAGTGCCACGCTAGTAGTAACAAGTGCCTTACTAGTAGTGACAAGAAGCTATTAGAAACAAGTGCCACGCTAGTAGTAACAAGTGCCTTACTAGTAGTAACAA